GACAAAAAAACGAGTTTTAATACTTGTTTTAATAAGTTTTTATTAATGTGCTTTTGAAACCAAAAAATTATCCAATAAAAAACTCAAAAGTTTATAGTTTAAGTAGATTTAGTTTTTCAGCAAACAGAAAGACAATAAAAAACTTTACAATAAATAGATATTTTCAAAATCTCGATACAGTAAAGAGAACTGGGACTTGCATTGCCTGCCAAAAGAAAGTTCAATGAGCAAATAATCGCATTGCAGCACACAAACGAACATCGTGTCCAAACGCTAGTGAAGATGAGAAACGATTGTTTGCAAAACGAAAGCCGGTTCATTGATCAACATCGACAACGACATTATTATCTCAGGTAAAACTTACTAAGTTGTCGACAATGTGATGAATCCTGAAGAATTAAAAAAAGAAATCGATATGAAATTAGCAAACTTCTTTTTCCAAACTGGAATATCTCTTTGTCTTGTTGAATCTGAAGCTTTTAAGGATTTGATCAAAGTACTTAATCCATTGTATGCATCATCAATACCGTGCGCAAAAACACTGTCAGGTTTGCTTCTTGATAAAAAGTACGCAGAATGATTCGCTAAATTGGAAGAAATTTTCGAATCATCTAAAAATTTAACGCTCGTCAGTGATGGTTGGACAAATATTGGTGGCGATCATATAGTGATTTTTAATTAAAGAAAAATTTCCACACATCTCAACATATGCAGCACACAGTATGAATCTTCTCGTTAAGGACATTTTGCTGAAAGTTCAAAGACCATCAAAGAAACTGAGAAAGTTGTCAAGTTTGTGAAAAATCATCACATTGTTAAAACAAAGTTCATCACTCACTCACAATGCCTGTTTGACTCGATGGCTCAGTCATTTTAATTCAATGAACAACCTTTGTATGGCAAATTATGTTTTGAATTCGGTCGCTGTTTTGACGCTAATTAAATCAAATGCTTTCTGGGATAGTTTGGCAAAACTTGCGAAAGATATCAAATATCCTTCCAATATCATTGGAAGACTTGAAAATAATGATGCTCCATTATCTTTGGTGTACTATTATTTTGGTGAAATGAAGCGCTTTAAATTCCTTATCACCTCAAATATGGGAAAAGCTTATATGCTGATACCAAAGTATGCTGCAGAAGGATTCTATTTTGGTGAGGATAAGACTGGTATAATCAGTTCAATTTCAGAATTAGCCTCCAAAACAAATCCAACAGTTGCTGAGACAGTTGAAAGTGAAATGATTGAGTTTGTTGGAGAAATGACAACACTGATAGAAAAAAGAAAAGAGATGATTTTCAGAATAAGTGCAAATAATTATTGGAATATTGTTGGTCGTCAGAAATATCCAGCAGTTTTTGAAGTTGCAAAATCTACTGTTGAAATGATTTGTTCGTCAGCAACAGCAGAGAGAACTTGGTAAATTTTTCGATTTATTCATTCACGATTAAGAAATTGCTTAACAAACGAACTCCTAAAAAAACTAGTTTTCATATATACCAATAGTGTTTTGATGGATATAACAACAAAAATGACTACATCTTAGAGGAAGGAGCAGTCCTCAGCGAATTCGAGTGTGAAGAAATTATAAATGAGCAAACATAATACAAAAACAAATTAAATTGCCAAGTATTGCAATATATTTTTTTTTAATTTGTAATCATGAAAATAGTTTGAAATAATTAATTTTAATTTAAAATATTTTTTTTTGATTTGAAGTCACTTGCGTTCGATTTATAAAACACTTTATTCTATTTTTGACAATAATTAATTTCACATTCCATTTATCGGTTAAATTTGTATGCGCATCATATGCATATTATGTGCATAATTATGTGCATAATTATGCGCATATATTTGCCGATATGTGCATAAGTTCCGAACTTTATTAAAATATTATTATGGAGAAAACATTCTCTATACAAAAAATCCTAAAAATTTAAGTTAAATATATTTAATTAAGGAAATAGAAACTCTTAAATGTTTAAATGAGGAGGAGTTATTAGTAATAAGGAAGCCCATTTTTTAAAAATTTTTTGTTTATAATCAAAAGGATAATTTGTTATCAAAAAAGAACATAGTATATATCTTTTAAACAAACTTTTTTTTTAATTAAAAATTGTTAACGAAAAGGAACAGAGAATATATCTTTACAAAAAAATTTACTTAAAAAGTAACAGTATATAAATATTTAATGAAGTATATATATTTTCAATAAAATTTACTTAAAATTATAAATATTAAAAAAACTATAGATTAAAAAATAAAAAAACTATATATCTTTTCAAAATTTCTTTAAAACACATTCTTTCAACAATATTTTTTCAACACATTTTATGATTACATTAACTACAAACAGATTTAATTTATGTGTTTCATCATGCCACTACGCCACTTTACTGACAGGGACAACATTTTTGTTCTCAACAAAGCGACTTGATGAATCCTGAAGAATTAAAAAAAGAAATTGAGCAAAGCAAAGTACACTATTTGGCTAGCAAGGTCAACACTCTTGGTGCAAACTAAGCAAAGTCATAACAACTTAAAACCATGCAAACAACATAATAACCACTTACAAACTAAACACATAACATTATAACACATCACAAACATAGAAACACTTTATATATAAAAGATATTTACACAATAAAAACCCATATAACCTTAAGACATATAAACACTTAATAAATAAAACATAAGTATGTTTACATATATAAATTAAAAAATATATATAAATTAGAAACATTTACTAATACAGCCTTATTTTTGTAATATTTGTTTAATAACATACCTCATAATAAATATTTAACAACTTTAAAAAAACAAACAATCAAATGACCTGTTTTTTTTTTATATTATAAAAGCAAACAGAGCTTTAACTTCTTTAAAATAAGGTATTAAATGATCTTGTGCTTGAATATGCAACATAAAGTCTATTACTACAGAAGTCATCAAATCATCTAATATAAAAGTTTTCGATCTTATTACTGATTAAGCTGATGAAGCAAAGTTTTTGATCTTATTACTGATTAAGCTGATGAAGCAAAGTTTTCGATCTTATTACTGATTAAGCTGATGAAGCAAAGTTTTTGATCTTATTACTGATTAAGCTGATGAAGCAAAGTTTTTGATCTTATTACTGATTAAGCTGATGAAGCAAAGTTTTAGATCTTATTACTGATTAAGCTGATAAAGCAAAGTTTTGGATCTTATTACTGATTAAGCTGATTATAAAGATTTAAAAATACATCGCGTGTCAAAAGTATAAAGAGAAATATTAAAAGACCAAACATGCTAAAAACTCCGTGTCAAATGCGCATGAATGGCTAACAGCAGCAGTGTTAAGTTAAGCAATAATATATAGTGATTATATAAAATTTGTCTCAATTTGATCAAAATATATATAGTGATTATATAAATTTGTCTCAATTTGAAAAAAATATAATTTGCAATTAAATGTTTTGCTAAAAAAATTGTAATTATGATATAATCACTTTTATTGTGAAATCTTTAATTATAAATGTTGTAACGTTTTGCATTCTATCACAGTAAGAAATTATAAAATGTTTTTAAAAGCAGTAAAGATTTGTATGGCTTTTTGTTTGTCAAAGTTTGTTTCAAATAAATAAAGTTGTTAATAAATAAATTGATAGCTAGAGTAAAAACCCCAAGGAAACACTTGTATATCAGAGTTTTTTTTAAAACAGAATATCATAATTTTTCATAGCGCAATAAATGACGCTAGGTATATATTCTTGTAACATTGTAAAATTAATATTACAAGCATTTGCTTGTTATTGAGTATAAAATCAATTTTTTTTTTAAATAAACAGATAGCTAGCACAAAAATTGAAATCTCTCCTAAAAACCTGTTTAGAGGAGCAGCTTGTATGGCTTGCCATGTTCATTTTGGGAGAGCTTTTCTTCTCTCTTGCCCTCATTTACTCCTGTTGAGGCTTATTTCTTTATATATGTATATATATATATATATATATATATATATATATATATATATATATATATATATATATATATATATGTAGATATATGTATATATACAGGCCTCGGTGGGAAGCGAGAGGTTTAGCTCTTGCCTACACTCCCCTAAATTGGTTTACGGGAGCAATTTACAGCTCTCGCAAAAAAAGAACTTTTCTCTGATCTCCTTAACTCCTTAACTCCTGCCAAGGCCTATATATATATATATATATATATATATATATATATATATATATATATATATATATATATATATATATATATATATATATATATATATATATATATATATGTATATATATATATATATATATATTTATATATATATATATATATATATTTATTTATATATATATATATATTTATTTATATATATATATATATATATATATATATATATATATATATATATATATATATATATATATATATATATATATATATATATATATGTGTGTGTGTGTATGTGTGTGTGTGTGTGTGTGTGTGTTTACACAGTCATTATTAGAATTATTTAAAAAAACATCATAGTTTACATTTTGATTTTCAAAATTAGTTTTATTATTAAAATTTGCAAAAAATTCACATATTAACTCATAATTTTTTTTTTATATACCATCTTTGGTTATGGCTTTGATTTTATTTTAAAATAAAAAACTTGTTAAAAAAATTTTTTTTTTACCACATATCCTTATGTCATGTTTAAAAAAACAAATCTAATGAGCTATTCCATATAAAATACATAAATAATGATAGATAGGCAGTACATGCTTGAAACTTAAAAATATTTTTTAAATGACAATAGTTAATGAGGAAAGAGTTATAGCTTTTTCTTTCTTACTAATTTCACTTTCACATCACTTTTAAAATCATTATATTTTAAAATTATAAATACTTTTTAATAAAACATTTATAGTTTCTTTTAAATTAATTTCTTTACTTATTTTTTCTATGATATATTATTTCATTATTATATAAGTTTGTTTTAATATGAAAAAAGGTTGGAAGTGAGTCATGCATTATGTGTGGCAATGGGACAACTTCAAATGCAAGACGTGATGACTGTGAATTTAATGGTTGTATTTTTTCTCCTGAAAAAGATTTAAATTTCGATCTCTCACCACTTATTAGTGATGGTGGACCAATGTATGAAGTGAAAACATATCGCACAAATTCCTACTTAACACAGTTGTTTTACATTAACATTTGTTCTAAAAAACACGACAATACCTCTTGTGCTGTAAATTCTGTAGAAACAGATCCAATTACTAATACAAATTTTCCGACACAGGTAATTTTTAAAAAATAATTACGCATCAGTAATTTGTTACTTTGTCTATGGTGTTTTTTTTGTTGAAGGATAGGTTAATGTTTAACATTGTATTTATATTCTAAAATTTACAATATATTAAAAATTAAAACAATCAAAAACAATACAAGTGTTATCAAGTCAGTAATAATTTTAATTTAATAAAAAAGTTAATCTAATTGTTTTTTTTTTATAATTGTTATTATTTTTTTAATGTTAATTCCACTCCCAAAGGACAAGAAGGCCACTACAGGCAAAGAGCCTAGTGGGTTAAGCTAGAGGGTTACAACCACAACTTTTAGTTGTGGTTATAGCCCTCTTTCAACTCTAACTCCAAAACAAAAAACTTGACAAACAAGGCCCCTATGCAAAAAAAAAAATTTTTGTATTAACCAAATACAGTACAAATACATACACATATATAACAGGCTTGACCGGAAAGGCGTGCGATTTCACGTCATAATAAGACCACACAAATACTGTTTGATTTTTAAAACTTGACGACGGCTGTTAATATGTTTTGAAAATTTGTATATTTTTAACAACATGCTGAAAAAATTATCTTAATTATAAAGAAACTTGAAATAAAACTTATCGTAAAAGAAGCAAATAAATCTTCATAAAAAAAAACAATGAAAAATAAAATAAAAATAACTTAACTAAAAATAAAATTAAAAAAAATTAAATTTAAACTTAACAAAAATAGATAATAAACTATAAGGATAAGATTATCTAAATTACATTTGGAATAAATAACTTTGAATCATTTATCTTTATTTTGCTAATATAAAAATGTAAGTAAAGATTTACATGTCAAAGTTATATATTTTCAACATAATTAAAACCAATTTTTTTCAGCGCCTTTGTTAAAAACTCGTGGTTAAATCATCAAAACAAATTATTATTTGTGTGGTCATATAAAGACTTGAAATGGTACCCCTTCCTGGCCAAGCCTATATTTTATATATAAATGTGTGTATATATATATATATATATATATATATATATATATATATATATATATATATATATATATATATATATATACTCTTGCGTGGATGCCTTTAAAGGAATCCCCAAGTGCCGAGACAAGTTGTGTTCATATACATTAAAAAATAAGTTCAAATTTAATTAAACTTTCCAAAACAAATTATTGAATGAGATATTAACAAAAAACTTTATAATTTTTAATGTCTTATGTTTCTTGCAAAGAAATGTTCTAGCTTTTTGACTATTTTTATTTTCTAAATCAGGTCTGATTAATGTGCTTATATTTGATGTCAATAAAAAAGTTTTATTCAAAAAACTTAAATCAAGCTTAAATTGCAGGGTTTTCCCTTTTGGTAGTTAAACAAAAATATAAGATTCAAGATTTTAATATCAATTTTATATATATCTGAAAATATATATAAGATCATTTTAAAAATGGTTTCTTGAATTACAAATATAAATTATTATATACTAGCTGAGATTAGACCCGTAAAAATACGAGTCTTTGTAAGTCTATTCCAAACCGAACTTTTTTCTTATATATCCTAGCTTTCCGAATCCACAAAATACAGGTCTTTACCAAACCTAATATTTATATACATAACTATTTCACACCGATTATCTCTATACCTATTCCTTATTTACTTTAATGCTTTTTAGTTAAAATAATTTTGTTCTGAAAAAAAATTTAAAATAAGATTTTAAAGTTTTCTCTATTTATAGATATATTATACGCGGTTATTCCATATAATGCCTGCAAATTCAATATATACTAAAGACACTTACTCTTACAGATGTTTGTACGTAACGCTATGCAAATGGAACTAAAAAGATCTTAGACCACTAAAACATAGTCATAAAAATAGTTATAAAAAAATGTTTATTCTTTTAATTATGATTACAAACTAAAGAATAATATTAAACGCTAATCTAAAAGTTAAGCGAAAAAACTATGCGCATTGACTTTGGTTTGTGGCAAAGTAAACCTTTATGTGTCAAGTTTCTTTTCATTTATTTTACATTTTTTGATTAATTTAATTTTTGTTGCATATATAATAAATACAAAGAAACTAACTTGCAGAGTATAGAATAACTAAAAACCTCAAAACTAAAAAAACGTTCAGTAATATTTGCAGAAAACAAACAGCAACAAAATTGAAAAAAAAAATATATATATATATATATATATATATATATATATATATATATATATATATATATATATATACAATACAATATATAAAAGTACATAAGTAATATACAACACAATATATAAAAATACTTAAGTATGCAAAACACATTACTTGATACTGATTCTGTTGGTGTTCCTGTGGAACGAAAAAATAATAATATTAAAGAAATGTTTATACCAATATAATAAAACAGAAACGTATTATAGTCAAACTTTGCTTACCATTTGATTTTTCTAATGTTTCTAAAAAGAAAAAATAAATTTATTAACAATAACAAAGAAACTAGCTAACAGAGTATAGAATAACTAGAAACCTCAAAACTAAAAAAATGTAATGTTTGCAGAAAACAAACAGAAACAAAATAGAGAGAGAAAAAAATTTAATTAAAACATATAATCACGTAATACTCATCTCTTTATAAATCTAAAACAGATCAAAAACACTACCAACAACAATTAATCGCAAAACAAAATAAAAAAATCAACAGATCAAAATATTCACTTATTAAGTTGTTGTAATATAAGACCTAAAGAAAGGGGTAAAAAGTTAACTAAAATAAGCAAAAAGACCATAGAATAGATATCTTTTGGAAGTAAAATGTTATACATTTTATAATAAACACAAATGAAATATATTTTAACTTAGTTTACCAATTGAATCTCCTAAAGTTTCTAAACAAAATAAAAAAGCTTATAAACATTAAAATAGAAATTAACTTGCTGAATATAGAATATATGTTACTTTATGAAAACTTAAAAATGCAACAAAAAAAAATAGCAGATTTAGTTTTTCCATTACTTCAGCTAAACATAAGAAAAAGTTATAATTAACAAAAATTGCAGATGGTGAATATTTTATATATATATATATATATATATATATATATATATATATATATATATATATATATATATATATATATATCATTTTCTTAAAAAGGTAGCTTACATGAGGGTAATTCTTTTACTTTGATCTCTTCAACATCTAATATATATTTACAAAATTTTTCTACTTTATATATTTATCTACTTTATATAAAAAAATATTTATTTATTTTCTTATTTAGTTGAAAATGTTTCAATTTAATTGTTTAACATTTTCACAAAACTCAGTAATTAACAAAAAATTTTGCTTTACTTCAAAGTTCAGTATTTAAAAGACTTGAAAGTCAATTTTAGCTTAAATATGTTTTATAAAATTATAGCTTAAACACGTTAAATAAAGCTTATACGCATTTTTAAGGTTCACTACTTTACAAAAACATCTATCAAAATAACGGAATAAACAAAAACTGAGTTTCAGGTCCATCCTTTTAAATTCCTAAAAACTATTTTATATTTTTAATTTTAGTTAAATTTTAGGGTGGAGGTGTACTTGATTCACGGGGTTAGGGGTTAGAGCGGCATATCTTGGTTGATCTCAAATAAATCATCGTTTTATTCACACGTGAATCAAGTACACCTCCGCCAATTTTAGAACATATGCAACTGCTACTATATATAGTATATTTAAGTGGCTTACTTCGAAAAAAATTCTTAAACTTCTTCGTTGCTTAACGATATACAATTATCTCAATGTAATCTCTTAATAAAATAATAAGCTAAATATCTCAGTATTATTAACGTATTATCTCTTTTTATCTCTTTAATTAATGTTATATAAAAAAAAAAGAATACTTTAATCTTCTGTATTTTGGCTGCTCATTTCTAAAATATAATCTTAATGTTTATTCTTGGGTCAAAAGCATATTAACTTCAAACAAATTAACATGTTAATTCTAAATTAAGAATATTTTTTTAAATAAAGATTACAATAATTAAACTTGTAGATGAAACTTATTTGTCGTCCCTCGTTGCTTTATGTTATAATCGAAATGAAGAGAAAGAGACCACATGGCAGAGTTTTATTGGTTTTAGAGTACAGTTGAAACTAAAATTATGACTTAATTTTAGCATTTCTGTTTGTCACCTTCATTATTAATTACCTATTAAACACCTTCATTAGTAACTATTTTTTTTTTTTCAGGTTTTATAATATATATTTTTTTTCATACCATTTGGTACTTATTAGGACTCTTGACCAGTTAATTTTGAATAAAATTTCAGTTTAGGGGAGAACCTTAATGAATAGGACAATTATTGAGTGGGACAAAATCAAATTCTCATAGAAGTGTCTACGGTTAGATATTCAAACTTCATTGGTAAAAAGTGTTAGATACAGCCATTCATTAGATCGAATCATTATTTCTATTATGGCCTCAGCATAATGGCATTAGATGATATTGTATTTTAAAGAACAAAAAGTAATTTAAAAAAACAATTTTGCTTTTCTGATTTTGCAGTGATTACTGAAGTTATGAAAAATTAAACTCTATTTTTAAATACACAGTTGTCTCTAGTTTTAGATATTTTAAACCATTCACGTTAAAGTAATTTTGTTTTGAGTCTGGCTTTTTTATTTCATTTAACGTTATTATTTGTTCTGATAGTGTGGCTCTTAACAAGTGTGGCCAATGCTTAAGTTAAAATTTAAATGTGAGTTTAAAAAAAGATTTATAAAAAGTTATAAAAAGATTTAAACAAAGTTGTACTTATAAAAAGATTTTAACAAACTGTTTTAACAAGCTATTGTGATTCTTCGAATTTCTCTTGTCCCATAAAATATACATTTAGTTATAGTTAAAGTTTAAATCTGTAGTAATTTATTATACTTATATATTAAAGGAATTGGTTTACTTTTGATTTTTAGTTTTGTGTTTGTAATTGTATTTATACACACTACATACTTACACAAATGTGT